GCCCTTAATTTCAGCTTCTCATCGTAGGACTTTGAAGAGAAAAGTAGAAACTAGGGTTCCAGGTTTTCCCTTCACTCAGAGCAGTGCTTTCAGTCTGGATATCTGTATTTAAGAAAGCCTTCACCTGGAACAGGCATGGTGATGACCATGGTGATGAAGCACTTGTCTAACTTCACCAAAATAATGGTGAAAAGTGTGACAATTGGTTACACATAGAGTCTGGAAAGTACAATCAAAAAAGCAGTATTATTTTTGAAGACAAAGAATAATATTATGACATGGTCAGAAATAAATGTAAGTTTCAGTGTTTCAACAGAGCTTGGGGGGTTATGAATGATTTTATAAATAAATGAAAACATTGGGAAAATAATTCTGTAATAGCAGCTCTATAAACACTAATATTATGTCACATGCATTCCGTCAGATAACAAATTTTAAAGGAAATAAAGCTACTGTTTGTATATCGATCCCAGATTTAAGCATTTTTCTAGTTACTTGAGTGAAGAAGGAAGGTACAGGTTTTTGGTTTGCTTTTAAATAATGTTCACCATAATCTCATCCATAATCTTTATACTAGGCTTACTACTTCCATTAAAGTACTGGATTTGGCCACAATCTATCAGAAGCAGGGTATCATCAGGCTACATTGGTACGTGACGCTTGAATGCTTAGCACTAAGTTAGTGGGAAGTGGCTCAGGTTTAGGTGTTGCTGCTAAATAGCTGTGGAGTGTACTGCTAAGAGCGCTTTCTGCCAATGGAAAACACTGGGTAACTGCTTAGAGAAGTAGAGAATGAAAGAGACGGTCTAGAGGTAGCTAAGGAAACACAGTGTGAGTCCCTGCTACGACTTCAGGTTGTTTCTTCTCAGCTTGAAGGAGCCCTACACTGTTCTGGATTTGAGTTGAGAAAACTAAAAATTGCCGTAGAGACTCTTTTGAAGGCAAAAGATGAGGTCTTGTCTCTTAAACTGTTGATGCAGAAAGAGCAGGGAAAGGTTTCTTCCTTCTTGTACCCTAATTCAGTACTGATAGCAATTGTCCAGGATACAGTCTAATTAGAATCCACACATTTAAGTGATAAAATTAAATCAGACAAAACTGGTATTTGCTGACATATAAAACAGCCTATAAAGCTTATCCAACTGTACTGGTTTTCCTTAAAGTTGTTCGAGTAAACGACTGCCAGAATAGGGGCAATTGAAAATGCTACTGAATACAATTCTTAAAATATTCACTAGGAAGTTGCCATAGTAACTAACTGATTTTTCAAAAAAAAAAAAAAAAAAATTGAAATGCATTACAGATGTTCTCTTCAAAATATCTTAAAAAGGGGAAAACATAGCAAGTACAAATGATTGATAATAACTTTTTCCAGAATCGAGACCTATCAAATTATTTACCAAATATCCTGCACAGTATCATGCTACTGTTCAAATATAAGTTAAAAACAAATGTCGAAAATTAAACTGAAAATGCTCTTTCATAGAATCATAGAATGGCCTGCGTTAAAAAGGACCTCAAATATCACCTACTTTCAACCCCCCCGCTATGTGCAGTGACCAACCACCAGACCAGGCTGCTCATAGCCAGCTTGGTCTTGAATGCCTCCAGGGATGGGGCATCCACAGCCTCCTTGGGCAACCTGTTCCAGTGCCTCACCACCCCGAGTGAAAAACTTCCTCCTAATATCTAACCTAAACCTCTGCTGTCTTAGTTTTAAATCATTCCCCCTTGTCCTAACACTATCACCCTCATAAACAGTCATTCCTTCTCCTGTTTATAAACTCCCTTCAAGAATTGGAAGGCCACAATGAGATCTCCCCAAAGCCTTCTCTTCTCCAATCTGAACAAGCCCAGTTCCCTCAACATTTCCTCATAGGAAAGGTGCTCCAGCCCTCTGGTCATCTTGGAGGTCCTCCTCTTGGACTCGTTCCAAGAGTTCTGCATCTTTCTTGTGCTGGGAACCCCAGGCCTGGATGCAATGCTGCAGATGGGACCTCACAAGAGCCGAGCAGAGGGGGACGATCACCTCCCTGTCCCTGCTGTCCCCACTCTGTTGATGCAGCCCAGAACACAGTTGGCCTTCTGGACTGCAAGTACACACTGCTGGTTTATGTTCAGCTTCTCGTCCACCAGGATCCCCAAGTCCTTCCTGCAGGGCTGTTCTCAAACAGTTCTTCTCCCATCTTGTATAAACACCTGGGATTACCCCGACCCAAATGCAGCACCCTGTACTTGGCTTTGTTGAACCTCATTACTTTCACATGGGCCTATTTCTCAAGCCTGTCTAGGTCCCTCTGGATGGCTTCCCTTCTATCCAATGTATTGACCACTCAGCTTGGTACCATCTGCAAACTTGCTGAGGCTGCACTCGATGCCATCATCTGTCATTGATGAAGATGCTGAAGAGCACCGGTCCCAAGACCGACCCCTGAGAGACATCACTTGTGACCAGCCTGCACCCTGACACAGAGCCATTGATCACAGCCCTTTGGCAGTGACCAGCCAACCAATTCCTAAGCCTCCAAACAGTCCATCCTTCAAATCCATACCTCTCTAATTTATAGAGAAGAATATGATCAGGGACCATGTCAAAGATTTTGCATAAGTCCAGGTAGATGATATCCACCACCCTTCCCCCATCCACCAAAGCCATCACTCCATCATAGAAGACCACCAGATTGGTCAGGCACGATCTGCCCTTGGTGAAGCCGTGCTGGCTGTCTTGACTCACCTCTTCATCTCATATGTGTCTTAACATAGCTTCCAGCAGGATCTGCTCCATGATCTTCCCAGGCACAGAGGAGAGGCTCACTGGCCTGCAGTTCCTCAGGTCTTTCTTTGTCCCTTTCTTAAAAATGGGAGTAATGTTTCCTTTCTTCCAGTCATCGGGGACTTCACAGCCACAGTTTCTGTTTAAATCAAACTGATTATCTTTAGCTAACTCAGCAAAAATACGTTTTTATATCAATAAAACCTTTATAATTTGTAAAGCTGCTATTTTGCAAACTGCATTTAGCAATATTTGATTCCTTGCTGAAATTTTGATACTGTAAAGATGTAACAAAAATGCTGTTTAATAACACAAAGGAATACCATATTCAAACTCAGATGTTTTTTCAAAGAAGTTGAATCTTTCCATGAAGAGTCACTATTTAAAATTGAAATCATACAGTGATACTTAAATATTCATTTGCTCTTTATCACTTTGCAAGATAGTCTTACCTCATAATATAGTATGAGCAAGAAGCTCAGTAAAAAATCATATACTTTTAACCTTATTGATATAATTCATAGCAATAGATAGAATACTTTGAAATTTGGTTAATCATTTTTGCTATTGAATTTCTTAGACATGCTGGTAAAATGTATTTTTTATATTTGCAAAGACATATTCATTTTGGACTTATGCACTCTACCTTAGCAAAGGAAACTCCTTAATCACAATCCCTGCTGAAGAGCACTGTTGTATTCTTGCATTGTATTTTTCTCAAATTGATTAGCATGAAGAAACACAGGGGAAACTGGGCAGCTTTAACAGAACTTGGTTTCATCCATTTCGTCTCCATTATCTTCAACTTCTTTTCTTTAATGATTTTCTGCAAGGAAATTCTAAATCTCAAAGGTTTATAACAGCTTGTGGAGTAAAATGCCGGTTTGTTTTTTTTTCCTCTGCTTACAGCATCAATCAGAAAAGAGAGGAATTTAAACTAACTTGCTACACCTGGGTTTGTTTTAAGAGAGAGCTGAAATACCGAAGACAGTGTTTGATTTCTCATTTATCATTGGGGTCAGAAGAACTCCTGGACTACAGAAACCTATTTCAATTCTGTAACAAAGGGGAAAGAAACAAACTACGGTCTTTGAGCTATTACACTGGAAAATCAAGAAGCTGGCAGTTTTCTTTACCAAACTGCCTTAGCTAAACTCAGAGATATTCTTAGGGAGGCATTAGAGAAATTGATTTTAAACAAGAATTATAAAGTGATTGGGAGAAATTGTATATTCGATGCCTGTAATATTTTGACATCACAAAATCTGTTAGGTACGTTAGTAGAGATTCTGGTCTCCTTTTTCATAAAGTAACACGTTTTATCTACATTTTCAAGCTCCTCTGATTGTCCTAGGTTTTTAATACAAAAGAATGAGTCAGTGCCAAAACTGACAACAGTTGAGATTGATTCTAAGGGATCATGCAACATGGGGAAAGGGAAAGGGGAAGGGAAAACCTTACCTTATAGCAGTCTTCTCGAATCTAAAGGGGGTCTGCACAAAAGCTGGAGAGGGATACTTTATCAGGGCGTGTAATGATAGTGCAAGGTGCAATAGTTTTAAACTAGAAGAAGGTGCCTAAATGCCTAGAAGCGTTCAAGGCTTTGAACAGCCTGGTTTAGGAGAAGGCGTCTCTGCATGTGGCAGGGGTGGAAGGAGGGGTGAACTTGCCGGACTTTAAGGTCTTTTCCAACTCAAACCATTCTGGGATTCTTTGATTCTATGAAAGGAATTTTGGAATTTCATTACTGTAATGAGATCCAATTCTTATCTTTAATTGTTAATGCTTAGATAAAGAGAGGCCAAAGCACGTATATATTCCAAGTAGATTGGTATACACCAAACAGATTGGATAGGGAGCTATTTAGCTGTGCCGCTTGAGTGGCATGCATCTTGGTTTAGGCTCATATGTTTGTACAGCTTCTAGACTAAATGTTTTTGGCTTCAGGACCTAGGCATCAGAATACATGTCTATGTACATTCTAATTACTTTGTGGCTACTTGATTAACTGATAAGCTTTCCTCTGTAGCAGCCAAATAAAAATTCCAGTTAGTTAAATCCCTCTACAGAATTTTCTTTCCATGTATCATGTATCATATATTTTACATATATTTGTTTCACACATCAAAAGGCAGATTCACTTCCTTCTACCTTGCTTTCACATAAAATACATGTTAAATGCCACTCCAATGTGGCTACATTGGAGCATTCACCAAAATCAGAACCATTTAAAATTTATGGGGTTTATTCTTCTTTTATCAAGCATTTTCTACATACAGAACATTCACGTGGTGTAAGGTACAGAAGAAAAATGCATGAGACAGATTACTGCAAATAAGTGAATAAAGGACAGTTCACACGACTCTTGTTTGTTCACAATGGAGAAAGGTTGTTGAAAAGGAAAACAGATTCAGTAAATAGAAATGTAAGCAGACTCTTAATTCAGTTAAATGTACCTACCAGGAGATTTGCTCAAGCTAAAGAGAGATTTACTGTATCACAAAGGGCAGGATGCTAAATGTACACAAGATTACAATGCTAGAAAATTCCAGATTTCTAAATTTACACAATCTAAATCAGGGTACAATTTTGTTTAAAAAAAGTATTTTTTTTTTTAATTTCCTTCTGAAAAAGGAGGTCAGTTTAAGAGCTTATAAGCATTCCTTAGCAAAAACATAATAAAAATAAAAACACTCCCAAACTTTTAAGTCATTGCTCTAAGTCTGGATAGTTGTTTACTGCTGGCTTTCTTATCCTGCTGACTATTGTTATTTTATTTCTGAGAATCTCATTTTTCCCATTTAAATGTTTCCTCATCATTACAATTAGAATTTTAGGTTAATAAACTTAAAAAAAAAAAAAAGATTTTGATGGTGGAAGTGGGTTTTTTGCATTTTTTTTCACTAGTCCAATTGGATGTATGAAATAGAAAATTTGCTGAGTTACCCAAATGGTTTAATAAATATGCATCAATGGTATAATGAATAACAAAAAAAATATTATCTACTTGTTAACTTCAATTCTCTGAGTTTCCAGCTTCCTAAAACGTACACATTTTTTAAAAAATACCAGTTTTCTTGTCAGTAAAAGTAAAGCTTTGTGTAGTCAGATCTCAGAATTTGGTTACTCTGAATAAGTAAATGCAGCGGTTCTCTGTAGTAGAACTCAGACTCCTTACTGATGGAACTCTGTGACAGCTGAAAAACCTAACATCTATTCTTTTTCTTAAAAAAGAAAAAAAAAAAACACCAAACAACCAGCAAAACAGCTTTCTCAATTAAGACTCGTCATAAAAATAAGCTTCTTGAATTTCACTGATCAGAAAACTGTGCACTGCAAATATAATTTCTCTTTTTTCTCTTTCTATGTCCCAAAGCTTGAGACAAAAATTTGATAGTAAATGTTTCTCTCCAATGACAGGCAATCCTGTAGTCACAATGGGAATAAGTTATACAATTTCTATGCTTTACCTTTCTTGTGACACTTTCACTTCAAGGCACAAAAATATTAAACTGTGAACTGACAAAACAGGACATCCTATTTCAGTTTAAGGAACAAAAAGTTGTACATCTCTCATTTTGTGTCTGAAGCAAAGCAAACCAATATTTGAATCATATTCAATTCTTCCATTTACAAATGCAAAGTATCATGTTAAATTCCCTGAAGCTTTATGGTTTTTCCTATTTTCTTTAAAGTAATGCATGGTATTTGTCATCAATTTCAATATGTAGTAATTCCAGTCAACCAATACAATCTTGGTTGATATTCAATAAGGCTACCATATTAGCAAATAGCTGTTGCTTTAGTAACTTATATGGAAATTGACTCAAATTGCATTCAAGTCAAAGGAATAACAGGCATAGAAGGGTTGAACAATTTCAAATGAAATTGGTGTAGATTTAAAGAATGCTATAATTTAAGTGCAACGTACTGTAAAACTATTAATTCAGCAAATATTCAACATAGATTCTTATGCTTCCCCAACCCAAATTACTGTGTTGCCTCTCTCAACTTCAGTGATCTCACAATTTAACTTATTGAGGCGTCCATCCAGGATGAACAAAGATTCCTTGGAAGGGGTCATGAGATACTGACCAAAAAGGCCACTGTCTTTTATAAGACGGTTCTTACTGTTCCAAGGCCATTCGCCTGCCCTGACAGGCTCCTTAAGACTCTTCACCATCTTAACCTTTCCAGAGGAGAGCTCCACAAAGAGAACGTCAGTTTGTGTACTGGAACTACAGTAGATGTTGTATTGATGAGCTTCAGTGAATGATGGCTGAAAAGCTACATCAGATATGTGCAAATTTGTGTGAATGTCAAATGAATCTTGAATTTCTCCTCTCAACGTTATGGTCTGGATCCTCATGAGACCCTTTGCATCATCAATACTGACAAGGTAGTGTCCATCTGGAGAGACGTGCGGTCTGCCTGTTACATCACCATTGTATCCAATCACAGAATCAGTAACACTATCCACTATAAGCTGTGGCAGAACAGCACCAGTGGTATCAGGTTTACAGTAGATAAAAAATAATCCTCCAAGATGTGTATAAGCCAGGGACTGAGGAATGCAATTATAATCCTTTAAACTAATTGTCTTGATGTACGACATAGTTTCAAGATCAATCTTCTGGAGCATGGGCTCATCTTTATGAAGAATAAATCCAAACCTGGAAGGAAAAGCACAAAGTCAAAGAAAGAGGTATTGTATGCATCATGTACAAATGTGGAAAGGCAATATAATAAAGTACATGAGTTAATACTTGCAGCAGTGTACAAATACAATTTAGCTTCAGATGTTCCAGAGATGAAGCATTCTATATTATTTAATTTTCAGTGTTCTTGTAATTATATTTTAAATTGTGCCAAATAAAATATCTAAAAAATAATTTCTCTGATTAATTGGCAATGTTTTATTTCTATAGACTCTAGGGGGAAAGTAAACATTACTCTGAATGTCTATTCAGTTAAAACTTTTACAAAAGCTAGGTGGAAGAAAAATATTAAATATCAATAGATAATACATCCCACAAGCTTTTATTCACTTCACATTCTTCTTCAACTTTCTTGGGAATCAGCTTTATCCAGAGCTCATTGTTATTCAGATAATTATCCTAATTTTTCTCATTCTAATTCAGCAGAAATGAATATCGTAAAAGGATTTAAGTTTATGCCTCCCATCTACCCAAGACCCACATTTCTTACATTTTTAAATGAATCTTTATACATTTCCATATATTCAAGGAATTCTCACTGAACATGAATAATATGATTAAACCTTAAAATTCTAGAGCTTAATGTTTGTAACATTTTAAACATATACTATATGACTATTCTCTGTTAAGCTGTAAGTTCTGACTGCACAATTTTTTGATTGCATGTATTCAAATGCCAGTGCTCTAAATACTGTAAAGTTATGTCAAAGTTTGTTAGTCTTGTTTATAATCTAAGGACCGTTCACAGCACTCCTCTGAAACAGCTGTTTTCCTTTGGCACATTTCTTAACATTTTACTTTGAATCTTTGATCACTACAGTGAAGCATTCTTGCTGCTGTGTGATGACATTTAATCTAAAAATACCTTTCAGATCCTATCCATATGAAGAACCACAATGTTTCAGTGGTTGAAAATAGTACAAAATTTCACATCATACTTTGCAAGCCCGATATATTCAATAATCCTTGATTAAGGAAAAAACATGCAGAAAGATTTCAGGACACTGCTCAGTCAGTTCCTCAGATATAAGGTAGGTTTAATTATATTTGTTCTTCTTCTTACCAAACTCGTACAATTTTCTGGAATATTTTTTAATTTCAGCCCTACTTTCCAAAATCCTTGCATCCTGCTTCATTATCATTGGATCATAGTACTGCAGAATAATTTCTTATAATTTTATAAATAATTTTTATTTATTTTATAAATAAATAATTTATTTTTTTTTTCCTGGATGAGTATTAAATCAGGGCTAGCTATCACTGCTGGTTATTAATATTATTTTCTTAAAATGTTAACACTCCAAAGAAATTTTCTAGTTCAAACTTTAAAAACTCACAATTTTAGACACTGATATAAGGTGGAAAACTTTAACCTAGAGGTAAGTGCATTAAAAGATCAGCTATGGTAGCAGAATATTAATAAGGTGAACTTAAGTAGAAGTTTTAACTTACAAAGCATTTTACAAATATCACAGTAAGTGAAGCAAGATGCTGAGTGACTTCCCTATGGCTATATCATGATCCGCTGGCAAAGCCAGGGTGATGATACAATGTCCAACACATTTTTTTTTACTGATCATGATACAGGTCATCCAAATCAGTGCAAATGAGATCTTAAGAGAGATAGATGGGAATAAGTGCAGATAACCAAAACACATCTTTTTTAATAGATCATCATAGATCATGATATCCTGCTTCAAAATTCGCTTGACTGCGTACAGTAAGGATCAGTTGCAAATAAATTTTAGCCCACTGTCCAGTAACCTAATTGCTGCCCTCTAACAACTATGTGCATCTGTCTGTACTGCCTTCTTTCCAGCATTATGAACACCTTGGCATGCCAGTTTGTGGATACACTGTGTAGTGTGGTTGACACACATGAATGACATCCAGAGAGACCTAGACAGGCTCAAGCAGTGGACCCAGGTGAACCACACGAGATTCAACAAATCCAAGTGCAAGGTCTTGCACCTAGGTTGTGGCAATGCCCACTGTCAGCACAGGCTAGGGTATGTAAAACTGGAGCACAACCCTGCCAAGAAGGTCCTGGGGGTACTGGTGGATGACAAGCTGGAAATGAGCCAGCAATTTGCCCTCACAACCCAGAAAGCAAACTGTATCCTGGGCTGCACCAAAAGAAATGTGGCCAGCAGGTCCAGGGAGGTGACCCTGCCCCTCTGCTCTGTGTTAGTGAGTCCTCACCTGGAGTACTGCATCCAGGTGTGGAGTCCTCAGTGTAAGAGAGATGCGGACCTGTCGTACATGTCCAGAGGAGGGCCACAAAAAATTATCCCGGGGTGGAATACCTCCCCTGTGAGGACAGGTTGAGGGAGCTAGAGCTGTGGAGAGGAGAACACTCCAGGGAGACCTGATAGCAACCTTCCAGTATCTAACGAGGGGCTATAAGAAAGAAGGGACAGATTTTTCAGCAGGGTCTGTGGTGATAGCACAAAGGGAAATGCTTTCAAAAAGAGGGGAGATTTAGATTGGATATAAGAAAAAAAGTTTCTTATGATAAGGGTAATGAAGCATAGGAACAGGCTGCCCAGTAAGGTGCTGAATGCACCTTACACATTCCTGGAGACATTCAAGTTGAGGCTGGACAGGGCTCTGAACACCCGATGTAGTTGATGTAGTCCCTGTTCATAGCAGGGGAGTTGGACCAGATGACCTTTAGGGGTCCAACACAAAAAATTCTACGTTTCCATGGATTCTAAAGGAAGCTTTGAAGTATAAAGATCAGCTGGAAAAAAAAAGAAAGAAAGAAAACAACCCCTATGTAATAAAATCGTATAATTTACCAGATCGTTACACAATGAATTATCAATACTAAAATGTTGCCTTCCAGTGGTGTCTATAATCCCAACTCAGTGGGGACGTTTCACAGAACTGATATTAGTGGCGTTTTATTGAGAATTTAATACAAACAGCAAGTGAATGAGCTGAGCTTCCACTATTCCACTGTTTGGTTGTCATTTATCTTTTTGCTTCTTTCACTTAAAGTAAAGCCACACTATTTTGACTGGGTAAAGAAGTTGGCACTAGAACTCTATGTTTCATTCTGTCTTGTGGCTAGCTGAATTCAACCCCCAAAGCTACCATAATCTAATAACTTTTCAGAAGCACTTAGTTTTCCAGAAGGATTAAAAAAACACAGCCACTCATAATCATGCAATGAAATTGTGCCTGTCGCCTTTGTGCTCTTAGCCTGTTCTTTATGACTAGGCTGTTGGGGAACAAGTGATACTTTAGAGTAACTTCACTTTTCCCAAATGATTTATAGATAGATGGTGGTGTGCTTAATGCAAAATTTCCACGTATAAAGATTGATATTCAGAAGTCTCCCACTGTTCATTAAACCATGATCAATATTTATGAGAATCTCAACCCTCATGTCTCTTCTATGCAGTGAAATCATACACAATATTCAACAGCATATAAAGGCATTTGTCAGAGTGCATATTGTGAACTTGTGCAGTTCAAGCCTTCAAGATATGAGAGCAAATCTTCACATTTCCAATTCTTTATTTTTACAGTTTATGCATGCGGGAAACTGTAGCCTGTGGGCATAACACTCCAATTGGAGTACATACTAGATCTCAGAAATCTGAGATTGTTTCTTACTTTACTTACTATATATGTATGAATAATAAAGATTTTAATACCAGACTTTCAACAATTTCAATCACATCAAAATTTTTCAATCACATCACGACAAACTGTCAAAAAAGAGAAATCTGAATAATTATGCTTAGCAATTCTACAGCACTTTCCATCCGAGGAATGCACTGGGTTTGGCTGTGATGGAGTTAATTTTCTTCACAGCGGCTCAGATGGTGTCATGTTTTAGATTTGCGACCAAAACAGCGCTGTTAGAACACTGTTGCTATTGCTGAACAGTGCTTGTACAGCAGCAAGGACTTTTCTATTTCTTTTTCCCCTCAATAAATAGGCGGAGGGTGCAAGAGTCTGGGGTGCAGCCAGGACAGCTTTCTCCAGTTGACCAAAGACATTCTGTGCCATATAACATCATGCTCAGCAATAAAACTCTCTCTGAATAGCCACTGCTTGAAAAACTGGCTGATTTGCGGGTGGTGACTCATGCTTTTGCATCACTCTTTTTTTTTTTTTTTCCACTCCTTCACTTATTAAATTGTCTTCATGGTGAACCATGAGCTTTGTCGCTTTCAGCTATCCCATTCTCTCCCACATCTCAGTAAATAAAAGTGAAGATGTGTGGTGGTTCAACTGCCAGCCAGGGTCAACCCACAACAAGCAGACATTAGCAGTCTGTGAAAACTAACAAGCTTTGCAATACCAAGATGAAGGGAGACGGAGAGAAATAAATTACATGACTTGTCCAAACTAACTGAATGGAGACAGGAAGAATATCCTAAAAGGTGTTAATTGCAAAATGCATTTTTTCAACAGTGAAGTCCACATGAATGAGTGCCCTATTTTCCTGTTTTTGGAGGCATTGGGGGCAGGTGTGAGGAAGCAATAAAAAAACTACCCTCATAATTAAGAGTGGAATAATTAAAATGAATAAAGTTAAGAGCACGTTATAAATGATTGAAGAATCACAGATTTGTAAGCAATGCAAGGAACCTCTGGAGATCATTTAGTCCAACCCCACTGATAAAGCAAGTTCCCTACAACATATCACACAGGAAAGTGTCCAGAAGGGTCTTGAATATCTCCAGAGAAGGAGAATCCACGGCCTCTCTGGGCAGACCATTCCAGTACTGTGTCACCCTGAGAGAAAACACATTTTTTTTCTGTTTTCTTCTTTTTATTTAGATTTTTTTCCTTTTTATCTGTAAAGGATAAATTTCAACGTTCTGCAACGTAAAATATCAGAAAAATTGCTTTCAGGTGAAATTAATATGAAAATCGACATGGAATGTATTCACTATCTTAAATATTAGTGACATTTTTGTTTAGTAGAAAAATAT